CGGCGAGGGATCTCTGGCAGCGTGCCCCTCCTTCCTCCTGGGTTTCGGCACCAATGTAACACCGTTTGTAGGTCGGGAAGAAGGAGGCGGGAACCGGCGAATGTTCAAACAAAACTTTAATAAAATAAACAAACACTAAATAGCGCGACAGCCCCTCGCGGATGACTGTCGCGCACAAACAAAACCAAAACACAAAATAAACTCCAGGCCTGGTCCTCTCTCGTCTTTCACTGTCGTCACTCCTCCTTTTTATCCTTCCGTAGCTCCTCCGTGAGACTCGAGACCGGTGAGTGGTGCAGGTGTCGCTCATTATCAATTACTCCACCGGCCTCGCTCCGTTCCCACGGCTCTCGGCCCCGCCCCTCTCGTCACACCTATTATGTACAGTCTACTGCCGTGAATACATTTACATTTCTGTGTGTATATGATATGAGGAAAGTTTTACTCTAATGAAATGGTCAAATGCTCATGAAGTGACTCTCAGTGCAGTTCTGGAGATGTTCATGTATTTATGTCCTCATTTAGTGAGACGGCAGACGCTAAAATCACCGCAAGCATCAAGTGCGCTTCAGTACAAGTGGTAAACAAAACTGCACGTCTGCGCCATTCATTAACACAGAGACACGAAGAATTAATATTTAAATAGTCGTTTTGCTGTAATACTAGTAGGAGTGGGAGTGTGCTCACTTGTGTGTGCGCGTACGTGTGTGTGTGTGTGTGTGTGTGTGTGTGTGTGTGTGCACGCACATCGGGGCGGAACTCCACTGTGCATGATACAGAGAGTGCGACCATAACGTAGAGACTGACACGAGCATTAGTTTGTTTAATAAAAGAACAAGGTATATACCTGTTCTATAGGAAAGGTAACTTTAAATGACTTCTGTTGTGATCTGGCGCTATAGAGAAAATATAATTAACTAAAATTAACTTGACATTCAGGGGGGGCGGGCCGCCCCCTCTAATATAATGGCAGGGGAAACACTGCTTACACATAGTAAGAAATGGTTATAAAAACTGAAACAGAAGTGAAACAAGTAGTAGGAAAGAGGAGAAATAAAA